GTCCCACCATCTCTCAGGGCACAAGGAAGACATGCGTCGAGACTCTTCTCGGTTCTGGCACCAAGGTGGTGGAATGAACTTCCCTTAGATGTCCGAACAGCTGAGTCACTGGCAGTCTTCAAACGACGTCTAAAGACTTACCTCTTCATTAAGTACTTAAGTTAGCACTTGCACGCACGCACGCACACACACACACACACACACACACAAAAAAAAAAAAACCCAACAGAGTCTTGGGCTGATGGTATTCCTAGTTTGTGACCTAGTAAGCCGGTATCAGGATGTATTTTTGATAGACTTCAAAGCACTATTGTAAGTCGCTCTGGATAAGGGCGTCTGCCAAATGCCGTAAATGTAAATGTAAATGTAAATCTGTGGGATGTGCTGGACAAACAAGTCTGATCCATGGAGGCCTCACCTTGCAACTTACAGGGCTTAAAGGATCTACTGCTAACGTCTTGGTGCCAGATACCACAGCAAAGCTGTTTTGGTGGCACAAGGGGAACTACACAATATCAGGCAGGTGGTTTTCATTTTACGGCTGATCGAATTGTTTACCCCATGTGGTTACCCATAGGGGTGTAGCTCAGTGGTAGAGCATTTGACTGCAGATCAAGCAGTTCCATGGTCAAATCTAGGTGTCCCCTGTTTTTCCTGGTGCAAGGTACCTTTATGTGCCTACTCTGATGGAAATAACTGAAACTATAAAGGATCTTATCTATAGATCATAACATCTTGGACATATGGCACCATGCCTGCAATGCTGTAATATGATCCCAGATTTCCCCTTGGGGACCAGTATCTATCTCTCTATCTATCTATCTATCTCTCTATCTCTCTATCTATCTATCTATCTATCTATCTATCTATCTATCTTATTTAACCTTGCCATACCATAGGCTTTGTGATGATTATACTTTACAAATTTAATTTATTACAAACTTTACTATACTACTATCGGTTTCACTATAGAATAGTATGTAATCATGTATCTTTAAGAACTATGAGTTTCTCAAAGCTGTGTGTGAAGAAACCTTCACCTTCTCTTTGACCAAAACATTATTTCAGTCTTTTTGTTGTTGTTTAATCTGTCTATCCTTCCACTCCAGGTTATATAGTATTGTAGGATGTTGTTGTAGCTATAATTTTTAGCAGATGTGTGTGAGTGCGCTAAATCAACTACAGCAATAACAATAATATATGTACATATGTGTTTAGAAAGGTAAGTGTATGTTGAATATCTCTCACAGGTTCTCACACAGGCCGTAAGATTTTGAAATTGTGAGGTCAGGGCCCTCTGGTGTCCCACTCCAAATACAATGTTCCCTTTGAGGACACTGCTTATTGCAGCACTGCCTCTGCTGGTCCTGAGCTCCAACCCTGAGCAGTGCTCTTCTCACACCTCTACTCATCACAGTAAGTGGAAGTAAACATTCTACTTTCAATAGGTTTTCGGGACACAGTTCTTCCCATTCCTGCAGTACATCACAGCACATGGTTAAGGATAAATTTTCATGGCCTAGGATGAGGTTTAATATGCATTCACTGGCCACTTTAACAGGAACACCTGTACCCATGCTTATTCATGCAAAATGTACTACCAACACAATGCATAAAGTAATGCAGATACAGGTCAAAAGCTTCAGTTAATGTTCAGATCAAACATCGAAATGGGGAAAATGTGTTTTCAGTGACTTTAAACATGGCATGGAACCTGATGTGGTCTTCTGCTGTTGTAGTCTATCCACTTCAAAATTAAAAACGTTGTGCTTTCTGAGATCCTTTTTTGTTCACTATGGTTTTAAGATGTGTTTTTTTGGGTTACTGCAACTTCCCGTCAGCTTGAACCACTCTGACCATTCTGCTCTAACCTCTCTCAACAACAAGACATTTCCTTCTGCAGAACTGCCACTCGCTAAATGTATTTTGTTTTTTCGCACCAGTGTAAGCTCTGTGTGAAAATCCCAGGAGATCAGCAGTTTCTGAATTATTCAAACCAGCCCACAACACCAACGCCACCAACAACAACCATGCCACAATCAAAGTAATTGAGGTCACACCTTTTCCTCATTCTGATGATTGATGTGAACATTAACTGAAGCTCATGACTTGTATCAACATGATTTTGTGCATTACGCTGCTCACGCATGATTGGTTGATCTAATTGGATAATCGCATGAATGAAGAGGTGTACAGGTGTTTACCTATTAAATTGGGCAGTGAATGCATATCTGGGGGACGGGCTCTCTCTTTTTTTATTTCATTCTCAGATTTCCATTTCTGTTTAACCAATACAGACCAACATGATCATGAATGATGTCACAGCACAGTGTATGAATGTAAAAATTGTTTATTTTAATAAAAAAAAAATTGTAAGCTATTTTCCTTTAGTTTCCTTAAATCATGACTCCCGTAGCAAGAACAAACAGTGGAAAGACACATGAAAGCCATGGAAA